AGAGAAGCACACAGCAACACCACCTCCTTGCCCTTGCCTGTCTCTTCTCATCCATGAGGTGTAGCCAGCAATTCTTGCAAAATTTTCTGGAGTCCTGTCATCCAAAAATGTTTCAACAACAGCTATCATGTCTGGACGTCGAGTGTTCACAAAGCTATGTGTGAGCTCGCTCTCTCTCTCTCTCTCTGTCTCTCTCTCTCTCTCTGTCTCTCTCTCTCTCTGTCTCTCTCTCTGTCTCTCTCTCTGTCTCTCTCTCTCTCTGTCTCTCTCTCTGTCTCTCTCTCTCTCTCTCTCTCTCTCTCTCTCTCTCTCTCTCTCTCTCTCTCTCTCTCTCTCTCTCTCTCTCTCTCTCTCTCTCTACTCTCTGTCTCTCTTCTCTGTCTCTCTGTCTCTCTCTCTCTGTCTCTCTCTGTCTCTGTCTCTCTCTCTGTCTCTGTCTCTCTCTCTGTCTCTCTCTCTCTCTGTCTCTCTCTCTGTCTGTCTGTCTGTCTCTCTCTCTCTCTCTCTCTCTCTCTCTCTCTCTCTCTCTCTCTCTCTTTTTACATAGGGTTTGACAAGGTTAGGTTAAGGATCCCTAGCTTAATTGACAAGCTATTTACAGGTTAGGATTCCTAACGTTATTGACAAGCTAAGATTTGTTACCAAAAATCACTCATTTGAAAGCATTTTTTTTTTTTTTGAAACAAAACAAGTAGGGAAAAGGATGAATTGGGCCACGGGGGGGCCATTTTTTCATCTGATCAACTAACTTTACCCTCGTTGGCAATCAAATACTAAAAGTGTTCCATACTTGAGTCATCCTGGGGAAAAATTTGATCTCAAAATGAATGATTTTCCCTGGAGAAGGGGAAACGGGCCAGAGTGAATTTTGCTGCTTTCTTCCCCGTCTTGGGGTATAGAAGTTTTCCCTTCATGTGTCCTTTGCCCGTCTCTCTCTCTCTCTGTCGTTTCTCTCTCTCCCTCTCTCTCTCTCTCTCCCCCCTCTCTTCTCTCCCCTCTCTCGTCTGTCTGTCTCCCCCCTTCCCTCGTCGTCCCCCTCCTCCTCTCCCTCTCTCTCTCTCTCCCTTCTGTCTCTTTTCTCCCTGTCTTTTCTTTTTCCCTTTTCCTTTTTCTGTCCTCCCCCTCTGTCTCTCCCGTCTTTTTGTTTTCCTGTCTCTGTCTCTCTGTCGGGTCTCTTGTCCCCCTCTGTCTCTGTCTGTCTCTCCTCCTCTCTCTCTGTCACTGTCTCCCTCTGTCTCTGTCTCTGTCTCCCCTCTCGGGCCCCCTCTCTTCTCTGTGTGTCTCTCACACACACACAGATGGGAAAACAATTTTCATTTTTTAAAATACATAGTGAAAATTTAAACCTAGGGTAACAAAAAATTCAGACAAGGGCTATACTGTGTTTGTAGTTTATAAAGCATAAAAAAACTGACTGGCAAGAAAAACGAAATTTTAAACTTGATCAGGAATCAGATTGTTTAACGCATTTGTGTAATCCCTTTGGGGGGTTCATGAGGGGCCTGAGAGAAAAGCACAGAAAAAACAAACACACACAGGCAGACAGAAAGACACAAAAATGCAGGAGGACAGAAAACTTACAACCCAAATTGGTGGTGTTTTAAATTTTTGCCAAAATTCTAGAAGGCTTCAAAACTAGGCCCCGGGAGAAAGCGGGGAACCCACATGAAGAAAGGGTCTGCGTGGTCAGTTGCGCAGTATAAAAAAAATCCCCGGAGCCTGCAATACATAATGAAGAAAAAAAAACTGACCGTGTTTTTTTGGTTTAAAAAAAAAGGGCCCACTTGAGGCGGATTTTCCTATGGTATTTAGGTTGTATTCTCGTTTTTTTGGCATATTTGATAGAATGGAAAAAATTTTTCAGAAATAAGATGATTTTTTTTGGGTTTCCCTGATGAAAAATAATTTGAAAAAAAGAGCCCAAGGTTTGCGAAAATGTTTGATTTTTGCCGATGTTCAAGAGTAAATAATTTTATATCACTGTCCCAAATACGTGTCCGACCGGGCCCGTCTAATATGCAGTCATGAAAGGGTTTTTCAGTATTTATACAATTAATTACAAAAAATCAGTAATCCCGCATAACAGTAAATCTTTTAAATTTTTTGTGTGAATAAAATTCAAATTGGGAAATCCAAAAGTAATATAAGGGGGGGCCCCGGAAACATGAAAATAAAAAGAACCGAGAAAAAAGTTATTTTTTAGTGGGCCCGGGAAACCCTGCATTGTTTATTCGGAAACCCTATTTTTTTTAAAATTTGGGATCTTTTGAAATTTGTGGAAAAATTGGGGCCAAAAATTTCCAGTTTTTTGACCGCTTTATTTTTGGGAGTTGAAATCAGTAAAAAAGCAGTTTTCCTTTTAAATGAATTGATAGAACAAATGGAGTTCTAGTGAAATAGTATGAATTTTGTCAACTTTTTTCTTCCCCCAATTTTCTGAAAAAAAAGGGGTCAAATGGGGGAAATTGCCAAAGTTAAAATAACGCCGAGACCGCTAACTTTGCAAGAGCATAAAAATTTTTTAAGTTTTTTTTAAAAATTTCGAACTTTTGGGTTTTATTACCATTGGAAAAAGAATTTTATTTTTTATAAGATTTTTTTGTTTTATACATTTTTCCCACACGAGAATAAGTTCGTGAGCAGGGGTCCCCGACGTGCAAAGGGGCTGAAGTCCCCCGCTAACCAACCCTTTTTTCCCTAATCCCTTCACCAAAAAAATTACTTTTGGGTCCACCCCAACCCCCAAAAACTCTCAGGGGCCGAAATAAACCCTTCGTCCCCATTCACTCCAATCTGACAAAGCTCCCCACAAACCTGCTACATGTCCAAGCTCCTTGCACACTAACCCTCTTTTATGCCCTCTGTCCTTTTCTAGGATGACCCCTACCCCTACTTCCCTTCACTACAGATTTATACACCCTCCAAGTCATCCTGTTGTGCTCCATCCTCTCTAAATGACCAAACCATCTCAACAACCCCCATTCAGCCCTGGATAATACTTTTAGTAACTCCACACCACCTCCTAATTTCCATACTATAAATTCTCTGCATAATGTTTACACCACACATTGCCCTTAGACACGACATCTCCACTGCCTCCAGCCTCCTCCTTGCTGCAACATTCACAACCCAAGCTTCACACCCACATAAGAGTGTTGGTAGCACTGTATTTTCGTATATTCCCTTCTTTTCCTCCATGGATAACATTATCATCTCTAGATACCTCAGTGTAAGTAAGCTTATTCAGGTATACACAAATACAGTTATATAGATTATCATACATAGCAGCATATGTGTAAAGTACCTAGGATAACTCAAAAAAAGTCAAGTGACTTATTTCCATTGGGGTCCTTTTACCTTATTATTATAAAATAAAGGTGATAATATCTTATTATTCTATAATGGAGATAACATCTTATTATCATACTATTAAGACAACTACACGAGGGTCATTAAGACTATCTACAATACGAGGGTCATTACTAGGAATAAGGTAAAATTACACATTTCTTTCAACACACAGTTGTATCCCATCGAGGCGGGGTGTCCCAAAAGGAAAAACGAAAGTTTCTCCTTTTACATTTAGTAATATATACAGGAGAAGGGGTTACTTGCCCCTTGCTCCTAAAATTAGATAAAAAAAAAAAAAGAATAAAAAATCATTCCCCTCCCTTTCTGTAGCTACATTCATCAGACACCTTTTGGCTCTCTTCTTGAACTGGTTCATGTTATGAATGGCTTTGACATGTGCAGACAGTCTGTTCCATTCCTTTATTGCTGTACAATAAAAGGTGTTTGAAGCCTGGCCACTGACTATGGGTACTACAAAGTTGCACTCTCTCTCCCTAGTACTGTGTTTGCTTTGGTTCTCAACCTTGACAAAATTGGCAGGAAGATATTCTGGACACTGTTTGTGAGCAATTTTAAATACATGATTTAGCTTCAGTTGTTTTATTCTGTCTTCAACATTCAGCATATCCAACTGCTGTAATTCATCCTGGCCTACATGCTTCTCTTGGTCCCAGGCCCAGGATGAATCTTACCATTTTGTTCTGGGTGATTTGCAGTCTTTCAGTTTTTTTGTCAAGGCAGAGTACCATGAAGAGCAAGCGTAATCCATATGACACTGTATAAGGGCTAGACATAGGGTCCTGCGAGCCTCAGTAGATAGACAGTGTGCTTGTCTATAGAAGAATTTCAGTCTGGCATTCACTTTCTTTACTACACTGTTTCCTGTCAATTCTCCTGACATGCATCAGTCAAAGGGGATACCCAGATATCTTACTGAGGAAAATGAAGTGATGGGCTCCCCATTACACTGGACAATAAAATTATTTACCCTTCTCAGTTTGTTTCGTGCCAAAGAGAATGGCTTCAGTTTTCCCGAGGTGTAATGATAGTTTGTTGTTTACTAACCAGTGCACCACTCACCTTTTTTCCTTAATTCAATGGTTAACCTCGTCCTTCATGAACACCATGGGGAGGGTTATGAATATTACTGACCTTACAGAATGTGATTATTAGACAATGGAAAGGGTTAGGTGTACTACATCACCAGGAAAGCGATATTGTAGACAGAGGAAGAATGAAGGACAGCACACAAAAAGTGGTTCAGCAGTTTAATTATGTTTCATATATACTGTGGTATACACTGCAGTAGCTGGTCATAGTAATCAAACGAACACTTTTCACATCAAGTAAGAGTTCAGAAGTAGGAAATTCTTAGTTTAACCCTTAAACTGTCCAAACATAGATCTATGTTGACGTGCATAGTGCTCCGAACGTAGATCTACGTCTGATTTTACATCCTTTCAGATGGAGAAAATCAAGGTCAGAGTGCTACGCACATCAACGTAGATCTACGTTTGGACAATTTAAGGGTTAAGCAGTTCTTTCTTTGTAATCTTTTAAGAGATAGTCAGCAAATTTATTTTCATTTCAGTTAAATCACATGTTTTGTATTACATGTATTAATATTATTTCATGATTGTATCACACAGAAACCAGCAAATATTCTGGTAATGGGAGAAGGAATAGAACGAGGTCGTGTCAAGATAGCAGACATGGGTTTTGCTCGACTTTTTAATTCTCCTCTTAAACCCTTAGCCGATTTAGACCCTGTAGTAGTGACCTTCTGGTACCGAGCACCAGAACTACTATTGGGTGCACGTCACTACACGAAAGCTATAGGTAAGAACTGCTAAATTTCTCAGTAATTTTTTTTTATATGATGCATTTTTTTTTAACACAGGATGTCTCCTACCGAGGTAGTGAGACTCAAAAATAAGAAACACTTTCACCATCATTCACTCAACCAGTGTCTTCACACAGGTGCATAGATATTACAGTTTACCTCTAAATTGTAGATATCCTCACCCCTCCTTTGGAGTGCAGGCAACATACTGCCCACCTCCAGAATGCAAGTACATCTAACTGGTTTTCCTGAATCTCTTTACAAAATGTTAACTTTCTTACACTCCAACAGCTTGTCACATACTGAAAACCATTTGCTTCCATTCAATCCTATCTAACACATGCACACACACCTTTGCTGGATATCCAAGCTCCTTGCACACAAAACTGCATTTACCCCCTCCCTCCAAGCTTTCTTAGGGTGACCATTACCCTACCTTCCATCCACTATAGATTTTTTTTTTTTTAACACATTGGCCATTTCCCACCAAGGCAGGGTGCCCCGAAAAAGAACTTTAATCATCATTCACTTCATCACTGTCTTACCAGAGGTGTGCTTACACTACAGTATAAAACTGCAACATTAACATTCCTTCAGAGTGCAGATGACATACTTCCCATCTCCAGGACTCAGTCCGGCCTGCCGGTTTCCGTGAATCCCTTCATAAATATTACCCTGCTCACACTCCAGCAGCATGTCAGATCCTAAAAACCATTTGTCTCCATTCACTTCTATCAAATACGCTTGTGCATGCTTGCTGGAAGTCCAAGCCCCTCGCACACAAAACCTTTACCCCCTCCCTCCAACCTTTCTACAGATTTATACACTTACTTATACACAGATTTATACACTCTCGAAGTCATTCTATTTTGTTCCACCCTCTCTACATGTCCGAACCACCTCAACAATATCTCCTCAGCCCTCTGGATAATAGTTTTTGTAATCCCGCATCTCCTAATTTCCAAACTACGAATTCTCTGCATTATATTTACACTACACATTGCCCTCAGACATGACATCTTCACTGCCTCCAGCCTTCTCCTTGTTGCAACATTCACCATCCATGCTTCACACCTATGTAAGAGTGTTGGTATAACTATACTCTCATACATTCCCCTCTTTGCTTCCACGAACAAAATTCGTCTCCACAGACTCCTAAGTGCACCACTCACCCCATTTCCCCCTCATTAGTTCTATAATTCCCCTCATCCTTCATAGACCCGTCTGCTGACACGTCCATGCAGGAGGAGCCACATGTCTATGGTGCATCCAACAAAATAAGCAGACTCTTGGATGTCTCTACTACCCAGCTCCGGCTGGGTTACAAGTGTCTTTGGCAGGTTAAATCACCACCACCAGATGTAGACCAAACGAAATGTAAACTGCCAGATGGACTATTGTCACTCCCTGCGTCATTATGTACTGGAGTGCGATAAAATTAATGAATTTATAGATAACTCAGAAATGTTCAAGAAATGGTTAAGTATTTTATCCACAGTGGTATATTACAGACCATTCTGGAGAAATCTCCTGACTTTGCTCACTGTAAATAAAACATTACCATGTGTGGTGTGTGTGTGTGTGTGTGTGTGTGCACGTGCTTTGTGTGTGTGTGTGTTTGTATGCTTTTGTGCGTGTCTTTGCTTGCGCCCTCGTGTGTGTGCCTGTGCTCGCACTCATGTGGGTTTTTTTTTTTTTTTTTTTTTTTCAACAAGTCGGTCGTCTCCCACCGAGGCAGGGTGACCCAAAAAAAAGAAAGAAAATCCCCAAAAAGAAAATACTTTCATCATCATTCAACACTTTCACCACACTCACACATTATCACTGCTTTTGCAGAGGTGCTCAGAATATAACAGTTTAGAAGCATATACGTATAGAGATACACAACATATCCCTCCAAACTGCCAATATCCCAAACCCCTCCTTTAAAGTGCAGGCATTGTACTTCCCATTTCCAGGGGCTCAAGTCCCCACTATATGAAAATAACCCGGGTTTTCCCCGAATCCCTTCACTAAATATTACCCTGCTCACACTCCAACAGATCGTCAGGTCCCAAGTATCATTTGTCTCCATTCACTCCTATCTAACACGCTCATGCACGCTTGCTGGAAGTCCAAGCCCCTCACCCACAAAACCTCCTTTACCCCCCTCTTTCCAACCCTTTCGAGGACGACCCCTACCCTCTTTCCTTCCCCTATAGATTTATATGCTTTCCATGTCATTCTACTTTGATCCATTCTCTCTAAATGACCAAACCCCCTCAACAACCCCTTTTTGCCCTCTGATAATGCTTTTATTAACCCCAAACCCCTTCCCCTTTAATTTCCACACTCCAAAATTTTCTGCATATATTTACACCACGCATTGCCCTTAGACAGGACATCTCACTGCCTCCAACCGTCTCCTCGCTGCTGCATTTACCACCCAGCTTCACATCCATATAAGAGTGTTGGTACTACTATACTTTCATACATTCCCTTCTTTGCCCCCATAGATAACGTTTTTTGACCCCACTTTATACCTCAACGCACCACTCACCTTTTTTCCCTCATCAATTCTATGATTAAACCTCATCCTTCATAAATCCATCCGCCGACACGTCAACTCCCAAGTATCTGAAAACATTCATTCTTCCATACTCCTCCCCCCCAATTTGATATCCAATTTTTCTTTATCTAAATCATTTGATACCCTCATCACCTTACTTTTTTTCTATGTTCACTTTCAACTTTCTACCTTTACACACATTCTCAAACTCATCCACTAACCTTTGCAATTTTTCTTTAGAATCTCCCATAAGCACAGTATCATCAGCAAAAAGTAACTGTGTAAATTTCCCCATTTTGAATTTGATTCCCCATAATTTAATCCCACCCCTCTCCCGAACACCCTAGCATTTACTTCTTTTACAACCCCATCTATAAATATATTAAAAACCATGGTGCATTACACATCCCCGTCTAAGACCTTCTTTTACCCGGGAAGTATTCTCCCCTCTTCTAACAAACCCCAACCTGAGCCCCACTATCCTCATAAAAGCTCTTTACAGCATTTAGTAACTTAAACCCCTATTCCCTATACTTGCAAATCTGCCACATTGCTCCCCTATCCACTTATCATATGCCTTTTCTAAATCCATAAATGCAATAAAAACTTCCCTACCTTTATCTTTAAAAACTGTTTTACATATATGCTTCAATGTAAACACTTGATCTACACATCCCCTACCACTCTGAAATCTCCTTGCTCGTCCGCAATTCTACATTCTGTCTTACCTCTAATTCTTTCAATTATAACCCTACCGTAATTTTTCCCTGGTTTAAAAATTCATAAACTTATTCCTTTTAAATTTTTACAATCTTTTTGCCCCCTTTCCCTTTAAAAAAGGGACTATACACTCTCCGCCAATCCCTGGTCCTTCCCCTCTTTCTCTTTTTATAAACAAAAGTACCAACCCCCCAACATAATCCCCCCTGCTTTTAACATTTCTGTCATATCCCATCATTCCAGCTGCTTTACCCCTTTTCATTTTCGTAATGCCTCACGTACCTCCCCCCCCTTACATTTGCTCTTCTTCATCTAAAAGATGGTATCCCTCCCTGGCCAGTGCATGAAATTACCGCCCCCCCTTCTTCCTTAACATTTAAAAATTTCCCAAAATATTCTCGCCACTACCTAATACCTCCCTCCCCCATCACTAACTCCCCCATCGTTTTTTAAAAGACAATTTCCTTTTTTTCCCTAGGGTTTTTTTAACTTTTTTAACTCACTCCAAAATTTTTTTTTATTTTCATTAAAAATTTTTTGACAGTGCCTCTCCCACTCTTTATCTGCTCTCCTTTTGCACTTCTCACCACTCTCTTCCCTTTTTTTTTATCTCCATTATTCTCTTCTTATAACATTTTGCTTTGTAAAAAAATCTCGTAAGCTCCTTTTTCTCTTTTTTTTTCACACCCTTTTCTTATCATTCCACCCCCAAAATCCTTTTCGTCCTGCCCCACCCTCCTATAACCACAAACTTTTGCCCCACATTCTAATACTGCATTTTTAAATCTATTCCAACCCTCTTCAACCCCCCACTACTCATCTTTGCACTAGACCACCTTTCTGCCAATAGTCGCTTATATTCGCCCGAACTTCCTCCTCCCTTAGTTTATACACTTTCACCTCCCTCTTACTTGTTGTTGCCACCTTCCTCTTTTCCCATCTACCTCTTACTCTAACTGTAGCTACAACTAAATTATGATCCGATATATATCAGTTGCCCCTCTATAAACATGTACATCCTGGAGCCTACCCATCAACCTTTTATCCACCAATACATAATCTAACAAACTACTTTCATTATGTGCTACATCATACCTTGTATATTTATTTATCCTCTTTTTCATAAAATATGTATTACTTATTACCAAATTTCTTTCTACACATTGCTCAATTAAAGGCTCCCCATTTACATTTACCACTGGCACCCCAAAATTACCTACTACTCCATCCATAACATTTTTACCCACTTTAGCATTGAAATCCCCAACCACCATTACTCTCACACTTGATTCAAAACTCCCACGCATTCACTCAACATTTCCCAGAATCTCTCTCTCTCCTCTACACTTCTCTCTTCTCCAGGTGCATACACGCTTACTATAACCCACTTTTCACATCCAATCTTTATTTTACTCCACATAATCCTTGAATTTATACATTTGTAGTCCCTCTTTTCCTGCATAGCTTATCCTTCAACATTATTGCTACTCCTTCTTTAGCTCTAACTCTATTTGAAACCCCTGACCTAATCCCATTTATTCCTCTCATTGAAACTCTCCCACCCCCTTCAGCTTTGTTTCACTTAAAGCCAGGACATCCAGTTTCTTCTCATTCATAACATCCACAATCATCTCTTTCTTGTCATTTGCACAACATCCACGCACATTCAGACTTCCCACTTTGACAATTTTCTTCTTCTTATTCTTTTTAGTAATCTTTACAGGAAAA